TAGTAGTAGTAGTAGTAGTAGTAGTATGAGTTCTAGTAGAATTAGTATTAGTATGTGCCGTAGTAGGAGGAGTAGGAGTATGAGTAGTAGTCGTAGTCGTAGTCCTAGTTGTAGTAGCAGGTACGAGGTGTAGTAGTAGTAGCTCTAGATATAGCAGAAGTAGGCATCGTCGTAATACCAGTAACAAAACCAGTAGTAGTACGCGCACACGTAGTAGTGGTAATAGCAGTAGTAGTACGAGTACTGGTAGTGGTAGTACGAGAAGCAGCACGAGGCATAGCACTAGCAGTAGCAGTACCAGTAGCAGTAGCAGTAGCAGTCGTTCGGGCTCTTCGTGGTGTGAGTCGTTCGGGCCCCTCGTCCTGGTGTGAGTCGTTCGGGCTCCTCGTGGGGTCTCTTGGGGGCGTCTTGGAGCCTCTTGGGGCCTCTTGGGGGCCTCTTGGGGGCCTCTGGGGAGCCTCTTGGGGGCCTCTTGGGCCCTCTTGAGGCCTCTTGGGAGCCTCTGGGGAGGCTCTTGGGGGTCTCTTGGGACCGCTTGGGGGCCTCTGGGGGGCCTCTGGGAGGCCTCTTGGGAGCCTCCTGGGGGCCTCTTCAGTAGCAGTAGCAGTCGTTCGGGCTCTTCGTGGTGTGAGTCGTTCGGGCCCCTCATCCTGGTGTGAGTCGTTCGGGCTCCTCGTGGGGTCTCTTGGGGGCGTCTTGGAGCCTCTTGGGGCCTCTTGGGGGCCTCTTGGGGGCCTCTGGGGAGCCTCTTGGGGGCCTCTTGGGCCCTCTTGAGGCCTCTGGGGAGCCTCTGGGGAGGCTCTTGGGGGCCTCTTGGGACCGCTTGGGGGCCTCTCGGGGGCCTCTGGGAGGCCTCTTGGGAGCATCCTGGGGGCCTCTTGGGTCCATCTTGGGGCCTCTTGCGACTTCCGCAGAGGCGCAAAGGAGAGCTGCCCCCTGAAAAGAACAAATTGAGCCCGAAACTTTCGTAACATCAGTGATTTTGCGATGAGGGAAGATGAGCGCGGCCCCCTCAGGACGCCAAAATGGGGCCACAACCGTAGTAAAATCATTGATTTCTGCTTCAAAGACGAGCAGGGGGGCCAAACTCCCTCCCCCCATCGGGGCCAGAATCCTCGTGAGGGTCGTCGTTGTTTGGCCCTCCCAGGAGTCGAAAAAGGCCCCCCTGACCCCACCCCGGGCTCCCTGTCCAGGTCCAGGGGGAGGGGGGAGGGGGAGGGGCAAACCCCTCCCCGAAGGGGAAGATGTGGGGTTGAGAACAGAGAGAGCTCGCTAAACCACTCACGCCCGAAGGGCTGGTGGGACTAAACACACAAGGGAGCACCAAACAACAACAACACAAACACCCAGGATTGGAAACGCAACAAGAACAAACCGCTCCACTGCTACACCGTCTCCCCTCTCCTCGTTCCACTCCCCTCCCCCTCAGCCCCCCCCTTTCACTCATCTTCCTCCTCCCCCTCCTCCTTTAATTCTTCCCCGCCAGGCGCTCCGTGGGCGTGGACGGGGCTCTAGCGATAGACAACGACGCTCTCAGCTCCTTAGGGGGCCCCCCTCTGTGCCAAATGCCATAGGTGGGTGATCTGCTCCCGAATGGGGCATTGCACCAGGAGAGGGGGATTTGAAGGGGATGCTAGTCCCTCGAACCGACTCGTGGGTGGTGGATGCTTCCGAGCCCGCCATTTGAGAGCCAGGTGGAGGGCAGGTGAATTTTCGAGCCTCGCTCCACGGTGTGTGCACGGCTCAGATTCCTATATTTTGGCAGCCACAGTGGGATGCCCCCTCAGGATCCCAACTAGGAGGTATGTATTGTCGTCGATAAGCCTAGCTGACGAGTGATCCCATGAGCATGTCTGCCTGTCTGTCTCCTCCTCCTGCTCCTCACGTCTCACTCCTCTTCGTTAGGGGGGGATGCAGGAGGAGGGAGGAGCGAAGGCGAGGAGGAGGAAGGACAGGGGGACGGCGGGGAGGGGGGAGGAGGAGGAGGAGGAGGAGGAATGAGGAGTCAGAGGTGCGGAGTGAGGAGTGCTGAGGAGGAGGAGGAGGAGGAGGAGAAGGAGGAGGAGGAGGAGGAGGAGGAGGTCCAGTGCAAACCCAAGACTCGCCAACGATGTTGGAATAAGCCCTCCCTCCAAGCTCCCTCTTCACAGTCCCATGCAAGGGTCATTTCCACTGAGGGAACTGCCTCGTTGGGAGACAATCGATTGAAGATTCTGAAGCGTGCCAGAACACCGTTCTCAGGACTCGAACGCCACGAATCAACCTGACTGTTGCGTCTTGACGATCTTGAGGCGTTCCAGAACGCCATTCCTGGGACTTCAACACATCGAATCAATATAACCGTTGCGCCCTGACAGTCCTGAACCGGTTCAAAACACCATTCCTGATACGGTGAACAGGAGGAGGAGGAGGAGGAGGAGGAGGAGGAGGAGGAGGAGGAGGAGGAGGAGGAGGAGGAGTGAGGAGTCCGTCCGCCGTTTGCCGTTCTCCGTAGGGGGCGGGAGAAGGACGGAGGACGGCGGCGGCGGATGGACTCCTCAGTCTTTCTCCTCACTCCTCGTTCCCCACTCTGCCTTGCCCCCCTCCCCGCCCTCCTCCCTCATTCTCGCTCCGCACTCCTCACACCTCCCCCCTCCTCCTCATCCTCTTCTTCCTCATATCCCTCTCCCTGCCCTCCCCCTCCTCCTCGCCTTCCTCCTCATCTCTTCTGCGCCCTCCTCCCTCCTCGCCCACCCGACGAGGAGGAGTGAGGCGTGAGGTGGGAGGAGGGGGAGGAGGATCGTGTTTTAGTTGATGATGCCCTTTAGGGTAGGCATATTCTTGTCGAGTCGGATGGGGCACATGGGCTTTCCCATCCTGGGAGCGGTGCTCGTGAAGGTTGGGATGACAACCTGGACGTACGTATGGTGGCACCTGGCTTTGGTGGTTGTTATGTGTAGCCAACAGGGAGATATGCTGGCACCTGGTATTGGTGGATGTTATGTGTAGCCAACATACCCCGAGGCAGCCACCTCTTTTCAACACCAGGAGGAGGAGGAGGAGGAGGAGGAGGAGGAGGAGGAGGAGGGGGAGGAGGGGGAGGAGGGGGAGGAGGAGGAAGGGGTAACAGTTGGGGGGACGGTGGAACGGTGGAGTGAGTAAGCGTTGCAATGTTTGTTCTTCTTGTTTTTGTTGGTTTTCATGGTGTGTGTGGGGAGGGTGTCCTTCGGGTGTTTAGTGTTGCATCATTTTTTTTTTTGGGGGGGGGGGGCAGTCCTTGGTTTTTGTTTTTTTTGTTTGTCTTACTGTTATTTTTGTTGTTTTCTTTGTCTACAGCCCACGTAGGGACATGTATGGGTAATTCGTCACGCTTCGTGCAGCCCCACCAGCCCATTCACAAACCTTGCCCATGGGAGGTGATTCGAAAGGGACGAACATATACTTATAGTGGAACAAAGCGGGCAGCCAGGGGATCTTTGGGAGCAAGGGGTTGGCCCTTGGGGGCCCATTCGGGCCATTTCTGGGGCCCGCGTGGGGGCGAGGGAAGGATGAGGACTCGATTCGATGAACCGGCCCCTGCCAGGTCCAGCCAGAGTCGGGCGCGGTGATCTGCTTTCGATCCGATTTAGTTGGACAATTCGTTGGTGGCCCGATACGTTTCAGATCCGATGTGATCTCGCGAGTCGACGCGACGTAGAACCGTCTGTTGGGGTTTTCGGGTCGTCTTCGGCGCGACGCTCCTAACAATTTTCCCCGGTGGAGACCTCCCTGGGCGGGTGCAGGGACCGTCTTGGAGCCCGGTTCGCCAGGGCTCGGTTCGTCGGGCCTCGGTTCGCCGGGGCTCGTTCCTCCGAGGCTCGTTTCGCCAGGGCTCGAACGGGCAAGTCGGGTCGGGCGGCCGGACCCCGACGGGCGGGGCGGGTCGGGCTGCTCGGTGGGCGGGCGGCCACCGCCCCGTCGAGGGCCAGAGCCGGACGAACCGAGCACGGGCGAAGCGGGTCCGGGCGAAGCGAGCACGGGCGAAGCGGGCCCCGAGCCGAGCCCGGGCGAAGCGAGATTCGCGCGGCTCGAGCCTGCGCCCATCGTCGTTGCCCAGCAGAGGAGGGGGAGGCGAGCCAGAGAGAGAGGGGCTGCGCAGGTGGAGTGTCGAGGGGTCGGAGTGCGAAGCTCGAGGGGGGAGGGGCCTCCTCCTCCTCCTCCTCCTCCTCCTCCTCCTCCTCCTCCTCCTCCTCCTCCTCCTCCTCCTCCTCCTCCTCCCCCCCCCCTCCTCCTCCCTCCTCCTCCCTCCTCCCTCCTCCTCCTCCTCCTCCTCCTCCCGGGTTCGGCGGCGAAATCCGAACGCCACTCGCCGATCAACGGTTCGGGCCATTCGACGGGCGGCGGGGGTGCCCAGCGGTCGGCGAGAGTGGGTATTCTTGGTCTTGGGCTCCCGGATCCCAGTCTACCTGAGGCGCGTCCTTACCTCAACCAACGGGGGTCGTTCGCGTTTCGTCTTTAGTGGACGGGCGGAAGCTACAATATTTTTCCAACGCCTTCCTTCTTCATGATTCTACCCATTTCTTCCGACCGATGCGTCCGATCGATTCGGGACAACTCGTGAAGCACGTGGTGAGATCCGAGCCCCACCCCTGCCTCCGCTCGATTCGGGAGAATCCATGGTTGGTGGGGGTAGGGGGTTCGGATGTCGCCACGTAGAGGAGGGAGGCGATCTAAAGGGAGGGGACAGGTGGAGTTTCAAGGTGGAGTTCCAAAGGGCGAAGCTCGAAGGAAGAGACACGGGGACCACGACCAAGATGTCGCGGGATCTTGTCGACGCCGATTTTGATCATGGTGCATGCGGACCGTCGCCGATCCGCGAGGATGATCCGCGATTTGACGCTGACCAACATGGACGGTAACCAAGATCGACACCGATGTTCTGCGTTCAATCCGTGTCATGGTCCTCGTTTTTCCCCCCTCCAGAAGCTGATGGGGAGGGGGAGATGCAGAGACGTTGGCGGGTGAGTTTCGGGAGGGGCCAGGCCGTCATGCCGCGGGTCTCCGCCTCGAGGACGCCCCTGCACGCTGTCTGTGGCCGCCCTGCTTCCGCAATGAGCCCTTGCATTTGGACCCGTCAGAGGCGCTCAGTGATTTCTTCGCGGGCGAAAGTCGAGGAGGTCTTGCGAGTCGCTGGGGCAATGAATTCGGGGCTCGTTTGCGTGTCTGGTGTCGTTTGGGGGTCTCCGTCTCCTGGTTCGTCGACGTGCGCCAGGTCGGTGTTGACTTCTCGCCGGGCACATGACGATGCTTTAGGGGAGGACGTGTAGTATGTGCGCATCACGTCCGTTTCGCTTGATCAGAGTGAGGGGGCCGAACGGTCATTCATTGTCCCTGGTTGCTTGGCTGAAGAGCGGATCCGTGGTAAGGATTCTGCTTGTTGTTGTTGTTGTTGCCATCGTCCCCCACGCAACCCGGCCCGCGACCCACCTCGCGACCCACCTTCGACCCACCCCGCGACCCAACCGCGACCCACCTCGCGACCCAACCGCGACCCACCTCGCGACCCACCTCGCGACCCAACCGCGACCCACCTCGCGACCCACCCGCGACCCGCTCGCGACCCGCCCTAGACCCGCCCGCGACCCACCCGCGACCCGGCTCGCGATCTAATTACCCGCGACCCACCGTCGACCCACCCGCGACCCACCAGCGACCCAACCCGCGACCCACTTACATTGTTTTAACAAGAAATCGGCGCCTGCGGCGGGCTCGCTGTAGAACTTGAAAAATTTTGCGCCTGCGGCAAGCTTCTTCAAAGCCTCGCAGACGTCCCCACCGCCCCCTCACTCTTATCCGCAATTGCGGGGTGCTACTTACTTTGGCATCAGCCGCGCAGAACGCGGTATGTTATTGCGAAGGCCTTGCGGCCAGTGCCGCCGACCCTGAAGCGGGAGGACGACGACGACGACGACGACGACGACGACGACGACGACGACGACGATGACGGCGGCGGCGGCGGCGGCGGCGGCGGCGACGGCGACGGCGACGGCGACGGCGACGACGGCGGCGGCGGCGGCGGCGGCGGCTGCGGCGGCGGCGGCGCGGACGGGGATCAGAGTCCTCAGGGATGTGTCTTGCGGTCTCTTCGGAGCGCTCTCGGAGGCCTCTGGGTGCAGAGCCACTTGGGAGCCTTTTGCTGGCTTCTTGGGAGCCTCCTGGGGGCCTCTTGGGGCTTCCTGGGGGCTTCTTGGGGTTCTTTTGGGGCCCCTTCGGGGTCTCTTGGGGCCTCGTGGGAGCCTCTCGGAGCCGAGGGCTCGAAATGTCCGTTCGGGTCCGCCGTCTGAGCATCAAGAGAACACCGGTACCGCAGCGTACATAAGACGCGCGGCACACGTCGCCCGGCTTGGGAGCGCTCCGCCCCCGGATCAAATTTTTAAGGGGCCCAGTATAGTCAAGCATCTGTCAGTTTTGTGCTAGCCGCCGCTCAGTGAACGTCTAAGTACGCCATCGTCTGCAAGACAGCTCGTCTGCATGGCTGGACGCTTCATGTGCACGGCGTTCGAAGTAGCTTACAGACTTCTCGCCTGAGCAGCCGAATTTGTCATCGTGCTCTTGAAGAGGGAACCGAAATGAACACCCTCTTGGAGCCGTCTTGGGGGCCGTCTTGGAGGCCTCGTGGGCCGTCCTGGGGCCCTCCTTGAAGCCTCTTGGGCAGTCTCGGGGCGACTTTGGGGGCCTCGTGGACTGCTTTGGCGCGTTGGGGAACCGGAAAAGCGAGAACGCCAACATCTGTCAAACGTGTAGTTCAAATTAATGATTGTTGCCTCGTATGGCCTTCTTGGGGAGCTCCTTCTTGGAGGCCTCTTGGGCCGTCTGGAGGCCATCTTGGGTCTTGGGCATTTGGAAAATTCGCTCGGCGATTCGGGGCACTCTTGGACCGTCTTGAGGGCGTATTGGAGCACTCTTGGCCGGTTTGGGGGACTGGTTGGGCCCTGGGACTCCGCGGGGGGATGGTATTGGGGATGGTATTGTGACCCCCTGGGACCCGCCCCCCCCCCCCCCGGGCGGGGAACGGGAAGGAAAGGGGCTTCCCGTCGATTCAATTACGACGTTGCTCAATTTCGCTGTGGCTGGCGCGCTGGAATAAGGGAGCCTAGAAGAAGGGGGGGCCAGGACGACGGCGTCGGCGACGGCGACGATGACGAGCAATTGGTCAAACGAAGCAGCGCCTTGCACACGCCAGCAGGGTTGGCGTTTCTCTGCTGTATCTTCACATGTGCTTGGCTTGCCGCGTATCAGCTAGCCATGTGTTACAACGTGGTGCACTCTATCCGGTCCGTGCCCCTTGCCCTTGGGCGTGAAACAAAAATTTACGCCCCTCGGCGGGCATCATGAGAGCTTGAATTGTCTAGGCGAAGGAATTGCCGCCAGCCGCTGAGCCCACTCTTTCCGATGTGATGCGCCTCTATGCAAGTTACCATGCCCTGTCAGGTAGGCACGTCAGAGGCCAAAGTGAGATGTCCTTTGAGCGAAACGCTGGGCATGTGCAGGATGAGCGCGCAGAGACACCAGCGTCGCTGCGAGTTGAATGAATGGAGCGTATGGTGATACGATGCGACACATGAAAGGATGTTCAAGAGATGGGGCATATAACGTGCAGGAAAGGCATGAGGTGCGCCTTGGGCGGCACGAAGAATGGACGATGAGGGGTAGGAGACTGGGGGGGTGCTATTGCTTGTTTGTGGTTGGGTGGCGGTGGTACCTGGTTGCGGATCAGATGCAACATCAGGTGTTGACCTATTGCCCGCCCGCGAGGAGCTTGGAACAGCCACGGAGCCATATCAGCAACACGTTGACTTCGACAAGCGAGACGTTGACTACGACAAGCACGACAAGCACGAACAACAACAGACAGAAGCAGATCATTGGAGGAGTGGTCGGAGGCCTGCTTGGGGCGGTTGTCAATAGCTGGGCGATTGCCCTACAGGGGGCAGGGGCGTAGTTTGAGCCTGACGATCCCCCCCTGGCCAAAAACAGTGCGCGGGATCCGAAGGGACACCTCAACTGAACAGCCGAGTGGGCAACGGTGACGGGGAATCCCCACTGATGACCTCGAAATGAGAGTCCAGCAACAGCAGAGCAACCCCGGAGTGCCAGGCGTGGGGGGCGCCGTGGCGGCTGGCCTGCTCGGGGGCCTGCTGGGCGGGCTGCTGACGACGGAGGCCTCGACCACAGCTGTGGTCACGGCGGCGCCGAGGCGGGGGGAGGGGGGGTGGGGCCAGCCATGGGGTGGTTGGGCGTCCCAGGCGAGCTCGAGGTGGGGGAGCCTGCGCAGCGGCAGGGGGGAAGTGCTCTCGTTCAGCGTCGGATATGGCAGGCACCGCTTTCGCTGGAGGGGGAGGAGGGGGAGCTTGCGAGCCTCGTTGCAGGGGCCCTCAGATGTCCTTTCCCTCGCGCAGTGCACCATCCATCCTCCTCATCCTTCCTCCATCTTCCCTCTTCAGTCGTCGGGGTTCAAGCCATTTCGGCCCAAGCTGGCGTGCAGGTGCCACGCGCCGGCCGAGGCAGCAGGGCGCGCAGCATCGGCGGCGGCGGGCTGGGGCCCTTCTGTGCGTCGGTTCGCGCCTTGACGGGGGCGGCCAGCACGTGCCGCTGCAGAACTTTTTGCTGCCCCAGTACATGACACGAAGGATTGCAAGAAGGATTGCAACAAATACCCGAAGGATTGCAAAACAAAACCGAAAGGATTGCAAGAAGGATTGCAAAAAAACCCGAAGGGTTTTTTTGCAATCCTTAGTACATTACACGAAGGATTGCAGTCCTTCGGCCGCAGCTGGAATTACGAGGCGTCGTAATTCCAGCAGCGGCCGCGGCGTCGGAGTTTCGTGGCCGCGGCTGGAATTTCGAGGCGTCGTAAACGGTGCGCGGGATCCCGGCCAGGATCATAACGCGCTGATTGATGCCAGGCAGCCTTGCTCACCAGAGGGCCTATCGCCATCTGCGCGGGCTGCCGGCAGATAATGAATGGGTGGGCTCCGCAATGGCACGACAGACCTCAAGGATCAATGCGACAATGGTGGGTGTGGATTGGCCAGGTATTGCTTAGGCGACCAGGTGGTGCGCATGGCGAACGCGTCGCGAAGGGTTTCTCGCGCGCCGACGAAGAATCCATCGAGCTGACGGGCCACGCCTTCCAGAACATTCTTGGGAACACATTGGAAGGTGCCTTATCTCGGGTATGGCCAGGGCCCCGGGTAAGGGGACCCGGTTAGTGGTAGGGCCCCGGAGCCCTTGAATTTGCCAGAATCACTAAACCAGGTTTGCCATAGTTGGTGTTTTTCGGGCGACGGCAGTTCTGGTTATTGGAAATGGGACGGGGGAGCGCCCCCGGTACAGATCACTAAACCCGGCTCCACTAAACCCAGTTCTACCAACGCCCGATTATCGCAGAGAGGAGCGGAGAAGGCCATGATCGAGATCAGACAGGAGACCACGCAGCTGCAGGAGTTGGAGACCACCTTGATGAGAACACAGCGTCGGGCGACAGCACTACCCCAAGAGATCTGCAAAGATGCCGACCCCAACAAGCATGGGCGAGTACGGCGCGATCCGCAGAAATCGGCAAACGAAAGACGACAACAACTCGAAGCGGCATCGGGCCATCGCACGAGGAAAAAGCGAGGCCAATGGGTTTACCAAGGGCGTCGGACATCGCCATGCAACTACAGCGTGACGGACTTGACGAGGACTAACATATGCATTGGAAGACAGTGTCAGACCCACCGAGCCGATCATGGACATCCAGTATCTGTGCCCGACAACGAGCTGATCCAGACCAACGACAACGGTATCCACCCCAGCCACAGCATCTCAGTTGCCCAGGGGCAGTTCTTGCGTTGGGAATTGTGCGCTGGTTGGGTCACACAATTATGATGGACATGGGCGGCGAAACGTCTTGGCGAAGAAGAGCACGGAGAAGGTCACGCCCACTGGCCAAACGGGGCTTCGACGCCTACGACGCGGATTACAACCAAAGGTTGGACATAATTGGTTTGACGGAGCGGTTCCGCCGAACGCTGCAAGACTACCGCGACACGCTGCTGGACGTCGCCATGCAACTGCAGTACGCGTTCGTGGTGAACCACACGGTTCGTGGCTTCGGCCCCCCAGGATCTATTACGTATGCCCTGGATTGGCAGGGAGGTGGATGCCTGCCCTGTCTCTGCGGTGGGCTCGCGACCTGAAGGGCCGCGCAACGCGCGCGGGCGCGGGGGCGCGGCGGCCGAGCCGATTGCGCTGCTCTCCGTTTCCGGGTCCTCGAGTGTTTCTCGCTCGGGTCAAGGGGGGGGAGAAAGGCGGGGAGGAATGCGGATGGATGGGGGGTGCCAGGGGCGGGGGCGACAGGCGGAGGGCGAGACGAGAGCGGGATAGCGGGGAGGAAGGGCAGCGGCAGGATCGGTTGTCGTTGTGATGGTCGTTAGGGCGTTCGATTGCCGGGCTGTGGCAGGACAGGAGAGGTTGCCGTTGAGATAGATTATGTGGACGGGGTTGCAGTTGAGAGGGGGAGAAGCTGTAGTTGACTTAACACGTCGATTGAGCGGTGGCGGCCCGGTCAATCAGGGTCTTGATGTATTGCGAGTTCTGGTTGGGATGGATGTGGTGATTCCATGTTGGAATTGTGACCATGAGTATGTGCTATGTTTGTGCGGAAATTTGTTTTTCATTGTGCGGTTGACGTTTGTAGGATACAAGGCGCGCCCGCAGCCACCGTGCGTCTGAGACATTGAAGTATGCGATAGGGTTCGCGCGCACACATATATAGAGAGAGAAGGAGGGACAGAGAGGAAGAGAGAGAGGTTGTGTATATGTCGGAGCTCGGGGATTGACTTCGAAATGAATCGGATACCTTCAACCGGGAAATCGGTTTCGGTTTCGGTTTCGTGGTCGTGTCCTGCGTGCGGGCGAGGCGACGCTGCGTGGGCGGGCGAGAGGAGTGAACCCGCCGTGGTTGGGGCGAAGTTGAGTTTAATGACTACGCCGCCCGTTTGGCCGGCGGTGACTCCGCCGGTGTCCCGTGGTGTCCCGTGGTGTTCCATGGTGTCCCGTGGCGCGGTGTCCCGTGAAAGTTTTTGATGTCCCGTGAGGTCGATAGTCAGAGTGGAGGTGGGATCGATAGAACAAACGATTGTGTGGTCGTTTGCTAGTTCGGTAAATATTGAGATCGGAAGATACAGGAATACGGACATTGGGATCCATGGGTAGATAGAGAGTGAGATCGATAGATAGGTGCCCAAACAGGTGTTCCGTGATGCCCAAGTGGTTTCCGCCGAATCCGATCCGACCACACTCGCACACCCAAAGCTAAACTCCCCCCACACACACAATCTCCTTGTCGCCTGAAGGGTGGTCGTATATATAGATATGCACACCTGTGCGAGTCCTAGTCACTATGGCGTGACCCCAATCAAAGAAAAGTACACTAAGTTAGCAACCCAGCAACACCTGTATTATATTGCGTTGTGTGTCTTCGCTTGGCATTTTTTGCATTGCTTTGCATGAATTGGCTGTGCTTGGCGTTGCATTGCTTTGAATTATGGTGCGTTGCTTGGCATATGGTTGCTTTGTGTGGTGCTATTTTACTGTGTGCTTCATTGCCAGACACGGCTTGGTATTGCTTTGCATGGTTTGGCATTGCTTGGCAATGTTTGGCGCTGCTTTGCATTGCTTGGAATCGCTTGGCACTGAATTTCGTAAGTCGGCATGTGCCGACATTGCTTTACTTTGCTTGGCGTTGCTCGTCGTTGCTTGGCTAGGTTTCGCGTGGTGCCCGCCTGTGGGCGCCTCGTGGGCGCTCGTGGGCGCCCTGCGCTGGAGGGGCAATGATGCGCAAGGTTTCGCCTGGTGCCCGCCCGCGGGCGCCTCGTGGGCGCCCCGCACCAGGGTGGTGTGCCGAGGTTTCGCCCGGTGCCCGCCCGTCGGCGTGCCCCGCACTCGGGGGGTAGGCCGAGGTTCGGCGCCTGGTGCCCACCCGTGGATGCCTCGTGGGCGCCTCGCGTTGGGTGGGTTTGCCGAGGTTTCGCCCGGTGCCTGCCCGTGGGCGTCTCGTGGGCGCCCCAATAGCTTACACCACACAGGTTGCACCACACAGCCTGCACCACGTGGATTCTGCTTTCCATGGAATGCACTCTACCACCCTCGCTCCCTGGGGTTTTTGGTACCCCCAGTCGACCTCGTCTTGTCCCTGCTAGGACGGGTATTGCCCCCCCCCATCTTTGTCAAATGAGATGAGTCAGGCCTGACGGCCGGTGCCGCCGACGACGATAACGACGACGACAACGACGACGGTTTCGACGACGACACGTTGATGGCTCTGCCACAGTCTCGGGTCAGGAGGCACCCCGGCTATCCTTGTAAAGTACAAATGCAAAGTGGCCGCGGGGCGGTCGCGCATGCTCCAAATGTGGAGGCAGAGAGTGTCTTGGATGTTTTTTTTGATGGGGTGAGCATGCGGGCGGCATTGTTCCGGGTTGGTTGCTGACCGGATGGGGGATAGGGATGTATTCTTCTAGGGAACAGTGATGAACCCTTCCCCCAAGCAGGAGATGGCTGGGTTGTGGAAAGAGATAAGGCAAGACTTCGTTGAACAATCTACGCCCAGAGGGCTGGTGGGATTACCAGTTTGTCTGTCCCATCGTTGCTTTGGCATACGAACTCATACCACGCAGGCGGTCCCAGCATCGCCCCGTCGACCCCCACTTTGATCTTTGTTAGTTCTATCAAAATATGACCTAGGCTTTTTGCAATAAGTGACAAACACATCCCACAGGTGCGCGCACATGTCAAAACCATACCAAGCACACCAGCTTTCGAGCAAATGCTACAACGTACAAGCCGCATACCATTCTTTATATGCCTGATTACAAATATTTCAAATATCCTGCATGCGGGCATTTGCTCGTACGATAAGACAACCACGCAGTTTTACCATTTCGCCCATGACCCGCAGTCTCACCCGTCCACGCGGTTCACCCGCGTTGATCCAGCACGCGCCCAGCGCACGAGTCCCGATCAACAAATGACATGCGGGCCACGCGCGCATGCCGCCGCGCGAGCGTGTCGGCATCCGTCCAAACCAGGCCAGTCCAAGCATTTCATAATATAACTTTGCAAAAACGCGGCAACAACCACATGTTCTTGGATATTCGCGCGCACGTTCCCCCACCATCAACCCCCTTTTACCGCCACCTCATCACGTCATCGTCATCGACATTCGCCAGGGTCGGTGCCATCATCACTCAAGAACCTTCACCATTGTCGCAAGGACATCATCATGTACGTTGCCGCCGTCACCGTCACCACTGCCACCGCTATCGCGACTATCATCATCGTTGCCGCCGTAGTCGACGTCGTCATGATATCGCGCCCGCCTCAGCCACCGACCCGCATTGAAGGGCCCGCGCGCCAGCGCGGCCTTTCACACGCGCTGGGACGCTGTCATCGGTAAGCGCCGTCGCGGCCGCACTGGTTGTGCCAAACCAGTTAGCCGCTCTTCGCGTGAGTAACTTGGTGTACACTGGCACTGTGTTGCATACGATTGTCGTGGTGTGCACATTCGCTGTGGTGTACACAGGCGCTGTGGTGGACGTAAGCTTTGTGGTGTACACAGGCGCTGCGCTGCACATAGCTGTTGCGGTGTACGCGGGCGTTGTGGTGTGCACGCGCGTTGTGGTGCACGTGAGCATTGTCGTATACACAGGCGCTGTGGTGGAGATCGCCATCTTCATGCTGCTCCTAATTGGCTTCGGTCATTCCCACGCATTCCCGGACGCCGCCGGCGCGAAACGTGGCGTCATTTTATTTGGGCGGCGGCTATGCCAGAAAATATAGAAGACATGCTCTTTTCGCGAGTTCGTTCGAGGCTCGGGGGGGGAGCTTGAGTGCATCGGACCTTCCCGAGGGGATCTCTAGTCAGTTCACGTTGGGCCTATCATTGACTGAGCTGCTCCTGCAACGTGTTCCCGGGCATCCCTATAGCCCGTGCTTCCATGGGGGTGGTCAATGGGGGGGTGATGACCAGGCGGGGGTGGATATCACGACTTGGGACTTGGGCCATGCTGTCTCCCCAGATTCAGTGCCCTCTTTCTTATTTGCGTACGTCCCCTGGCACCCCCTGGGGCGCGCACGTGCCTCGGGCCATGATTCGCGACCCCCGCCCCGCTTGGACGCCCCCCTCTTGCACGCCCCCGACATCAGTCTCGCTCACTGCTCCACGCTCTTTGGCTCCCATTGCCGTGTGGGCGGGAGCACGACGACCTCGACTACTACCGCAGTCCTGGAGGACGTGGGCTTCGCTGCGGCGCGGGTGCTGGCCCGTGGGTATGCAACATTTCCCTGCGGAGCGTCTGAGGACGAGGGAGACCATCAAGTTACAAGTTGTTGGAAACTACGTGGTCTGGTGCTCTCAACCACGTTATTATCGCGTTATTCCCTTCGCTCCTCGGGCACATGGCCCTATGCCATCGCTGGGGGCTCAAAGATAAGGTCAGCACGCTTCTCCTCCCCCCTTCAACCTTCTAGGCACTGAGATAACCGTACATCACTCTACTAGTAGTGTAACGTGCGAATTGGGGCTGTGTTCTGTGGCTCCGTAGCTTTCTGCTGGGGAGACTGGGTCCACAGTCCGCCACCGCTGGCTGGTGCCCCTTCAAAGGCAGCCCGAGATTGCCCCCCCGAAGATCCCCGAGACAGCCCTAAGGCGGCCCAATCGTGCCCTCAGAGTTCAACCACAGTCGAGAGCTTCCCATTGATTGTCGGCCAACCGTGCGTGTCAATTCCGCTACACTTGGCCAGCGTGTTCGATATTCTTATTCGTGGTTTTCAGAATTAGCATTCGTTGTCCCTTCTCTTTTTTGCTCGTTGATTTGTCTTCGTCTTCTCATGGCCCTCATTCCTTTTGGTAACTCTTCCTTCTCTCTCCCCTTCAAGAGGCCAGCAGAGTGCGCGAATAGGACCTTCAGGTCGGAGAAGTCCAGATCCTGTGGCATTCATCTATTGTTTGACGACTTCCACCTCCAGTTCTTCGGCCGCAGCAGTTTCATTGCATCCCTGGGAGGCGCCATTCAGCGTCTACGCAGGCCTGGTGAAACCGTAAGACGCCATCGACACCCATCGGTTCTGGGGCATCATGGCAACGTGTGTCTTTCTGCGGAATGCGTCTGCGCCCAAGCTAACTATAGCAAGAGCTTGCGCGAAGCTCGTGCCATCCTGTTAGTTTTACATGTCTAAGATTTGTAAACGTAGCCACGCGCACACGCGTGCAACAGACACATATAGATATGCACCCTCGCGAAAATGGTGTCAGTCCAAGCTCAGTCGCTTTCGGGAAATGGCATGTTTTTTGTGCACCTTATATGTAACCTGTTCGAACAGTTGATGGAATGTTCGAAGCGGCCAGTTCGCCCAAGGCCACCCTGTCGAGAAAGCAGGGATCCAGGACACCCAGATTCGATTCCCCGACGAGTTCCTTTCGGCACGGAACTGTAGGAGCAGATCGTGGAGAAGAGAGGAGACAGCCTTCAAACCGAAGCCCAGGATAAGCGCGAGCAGACCCCCGAGTCGACCTTCAAGGCCTAGTCAACGCCCTCGTGGGCCGATCTTGGACACCAATGATAAAGAAAGGTGGTCCATCTCCCGTGGCCACCTTGGCCGACGTGAGGCCTCATTGAGGTACACTGCGGGCAATGTGCACCCGATTGTAGTGGCCTTCGGCCAGTGCCGCCGATCCGGGTCGCTCGGGGTTATTCTCCAGACGCAGAAATTATGGGCGCACGCTCAAACGCACACACACAGTCACACCACTTAACCTGCGCCGCAGACATGCGCACACAGCATCACCCACACACACATACTAGTTGGGAAACGCTCCTGTAGTACTAGTAGTAGTATTAGTAGTAGTAGTAGTAGTAGTAGTAGCAGTAGTAGTAGTAGTAGTAGTAGTAGTAGTAGTGGTAGTAGTAGTAGTAGTGGTTGTGGTAGTAGTGGTAGTAGTAGTAGAGGCCTCGTTCCGCGGCTTCTCTCGACTTCCCGCGGTCTCTCTCAAGTTTCGAGCACGCGGTGAGTTTCACGATATATGTGTGTGTATGTACGCGTGCATGCATGTATGCATGCATTGATCATGTGTGCCTGTGTGTAGGTACGTATGTATGTATGTATGCTTGTGCGCGTATGTATGTATTTAGTTTGTATGTATGTTTGTATGTGTGTATGATAATATGTGTGTATGTGTGTGAATGTAAGTATGTATGTCTGGAAGATTGTTTTTCTATGTATGCAAATGTGTTTAAATGTAGGTATGTATGCATGTGTGTATGGATGTGCGTTTGAAGAGCGAGGATGTTTCAAAGAAGAGGCACTCGGTGACGCGATCGTTGAGGGATAGGAGTGAGGTCGCAGAGGAGGAGGAGGAGAATGAGGAAGAGGCGATAACTTGAAGGAAAACGATGAGACGGAGGACATCCTGCCGGTGGCGCCCTGGGCGGTGCCGCGGAAGAAACCGGGGGCCTGCCGGAGGCAGTCTGGAGGCCTCTGGGGAGCTGTTTTGGGGCCTCTTGGAACCTCTTTTGGGCCTCTTGTGGGCTTCTTGGGGCCCCTTGGGGGTCTCTTGGGGCCTCCTGGGGGCCTCTTGGGGCGGAAAGCTCGGTTCTTTCGGTTCGTGGTCCCCCTCTTGGGCCCCTCTTGGGGCTCTCTTGGGGCCTTCTTGGGCTGTCCAGAGGCCCTCTTGGGCCGTCTTGGGGCCCTCTTGGGCCGTCTTGGGGCTCTCTTGGGCCGTGTTGGAAGCATCGTGGGCCGTCTTGGGACGGACTTGGGGGCCTCTTGGGCCGTCTTCGAGCGTCGGACGCCCGAAAAGGCAAGAACGCTAAAAACCCTGAGAAAACCAATGAAAATCAACGATTCTGGCCTCTTGGGGCCCTCTTGGGAGGCCTCTTGGAAGCTTCTTGGGGCGTCTTGGAGACACCTTGGGCCGTCTGGAGGCCATCTCGGGCGTCTTGGAGCGATTTTTCGGCGACTCGGGGCCCTCTTGGAACCCCTTGGGGGTCTCTTGGGCCCCCCCCCTCCTCCAAAGCGCCGGAAAAAGCGGAGCATGGCGCCCCCCCCCCCCCTATCTTCCACTCCCCCGGAGCGGCCCCGGGGTTCGCCGGAAACTCGCACCCCCCCCCCCCCCCCCCACCCCCCCTTCCCCGGCAGAGCCACCCCGGCGACCCCCCCAGAGGCTGAAGCTCAGCCTCGAGGCTGTAGCTGAGACTCCTTGAAACTCACACGCCGGATCGGCGGATTTGGGCAATCTCGTGCCATCCAGGTGCAATAGTGGGCCATGTGGGGCGATCCTAAAGCCATCTCATGCCCAAGTGTATTCTCGGGACCGTCGAGTCGAAGAAGATTATGTTTTCTGTTTCACAGTCGATCCGCTGAAACACCCACGGACGCCCACCGGGGTGGTGGGGATTCAATCTGACCAACATGTCGTAAGAGCGTTGGCATAGTTTCCAAATGCCTTTGGCCGTGGCATGCTCTGGCCACTTGTTTCATCTGCAATCGCAGAGCGAACATGACTGTCTGTGGCATCCATTTGTTTTTGTAGCGTGCGAAAACAACTCGCAGCCAGTAGCACAGCCTTCGTAGCGGGGGAGTTGGGGGCGAGGTGAGCCCCGCGACGAAGCATCGCCGATGACGGGAGTCGCGCTCGCACGCGGCCAGACCGCCTTGGCCAGGGAGCCCCAGGGGCAGGGCAGCCCTCACTGCTTTCCAAGCTGCCCCCACCCAACCCCAAGGCCGGGGCGCGCACGGATTCCGTAGTGTTTCCTCAATGTTCCGGAGTGCCCCCCCATTGGAAATCGACGAGCCCAACGGTGACTTCGGGTTGGGTTTGGGTGGTCTGGCAGGTCGTCGAACTTTCTCATAGATGCCGACGCGACGTACTCTCGTCCCCGCTGGAGCTTGGGAGGCCCCGCCAGGGGTTCTCACGCTGGGGCTCGCCAGCGCCGGGTGGCTCTCTCCGTCTCTCTCTCTCTCTCTCACTATCTCGCCGATCTCGCTGTGCAGAGTGCCAGGTGGCGGCCGTACATCAGCCACGGGCGGGGGGGGGGAAGGGGGATGGGGGCAGACTTCTCAGAAGCACCCCTGCTTCTTAGAAGGCGCGGGCCCTATCTGATAAGGACCGCGCCTTCTGTAGATGTAAGGCTGGCACCTTCTAATAATCCGCCTCCGTCTAAGAAGCCTCCCCTCCCCCCCTACCCCCTTGTGCGCGGAGCCAAAAGCACTGCGTCTCAGAACTCTTCGGTTGCTCGGCAGCGCTGCCTGCGAAGTCCCATCCGTTGGCGGTGAGACCATTTGGACTCCTAGAGTCCCAGTGCAGTCCAACTGCCCCGCCCTGCAGCTCCCTAGTGCCCATCTCGATCTGATCGATCCGATTCGACATCGGCTCTGGCCAGCCCAATGCGATTCGATTCCGATTGTCTGTCGATCCGGCACGGCCCGATGCTTGCATGGTTTTGTTGTGAAAGTTTGCGCGGCCGATCCGCTTCGATTCCGATGCAGTGCCGATGCGGTGCACGTTCCGATCCGATCCCGTGTCCCGATTCGATGCTGATTGCTCTTGCCCCCCCCGCCAGGCCACGGGCTCCGTAGTCGTCTCCCGCGCCGCGAACGCCACCAGCTCGGGGGCTCAGGCTCCGCGGCGCGTCCGCGCGCCCGCCGCCGCTGGGTCCCAGCTTGCGCGCAGCGCCCGCCGCCGGGCTCGCCGCCGGCGGCTTGTCTCGGGAGCCCTGAGGCGCGGGTCAAGAGCGCCGTGTTTAGCAGGATCCCGCAAAGCGCCGTGTTTTGCAGGATCCCGCAAAGCCGAGGTTGCACTGACGGGGGCTAGCGCGCAGAATCTTGCAGGAGCCTGCACGATTTTGGAGGATCCTGCAAAGCCCGGGTCAGTGCGTCCCCGAATGTTTCCTCTCTCGCTCTCATTCCATTTTTTGTTTGTGCTTCTCTCTCTCTCTCTCTGTCTATGTCGCATATTCCTGCTCCTTATTTCACTGCTGAAGTGCAATGACATCGTCGTTATCGCTTGTCTCCCGATTGTGGTTATTTAATCGCTTCGCTCATTCCGCCGGCGCTATTTGGGGCCCCTTGGGGCCGTCTTGGGGGCTTCTTGGGGGCTTCCTGGGAGCGTCTTGGGACTTCTTGGCGGCGCATTGGGATCCCCTGGGGCCTCTTGGGGGGCTCTTGGGGGGCCCTTGGGGCGGGAGGGGGGGTAGTCGATTGCAGCCCCCCCCCTCGGAGGCCACGATCCTCGTGAGGGGTGGCGAAAAATAGCCTCCACCCCGGGGATCGCCCGGGACCCGGCCGGGGATCGGCCGGGGTACTTTTCGTCCCGGGCCCCCAGGGGCCGCCCCGCGCGCGCGAACTAGAAATATCGTTAAGTAGTTACCGGAGATCTTAGCACGCCTCTGGCCCGTTGGGCCGGCGACTTACTGCTCTTGGACTCGTCGCAGTTTGGCTCAGGCATTAGTGGTTGCTGACACAGGACAGCTCCGATTGTCAGATTCAGAGTGTTTGATGATGCCATTGCCCCAACCATAGAGCATGCAGTTATCTTTCTCTCTTTCTCTCTCTCTCTCTCTATCACTCTCTTCCTCCCTCTCTCTCTCTCTCTTTCTCTCGTTTTCTCGCCCTCCGCCTCGCCGTGTGCAGCTTGGGCGCTCGCGTGCACCCTCTCGTCAAGAGCGTTGCTTCAGATTTCCTGGGGTTCCATTTCGTAGCTCGGTTTGGGCACCGTGTCTTCAGGTTTACCCAGAAGTTCTGATGGGCGCTAGGTGTATGGTTTATGGTCCCAATGCTATGGGTAGTGTTTTAGGGCGAGGGTGCGGATGGGAAGGATAGGACTATAGAGTTAATGTTCGGATTCAGGCGTGATGGTGTTAGAATGTGGGGAGACATGGTTTGGGTGTTAGGGCTTGTTTACTTAGGGTGGAAGAAAGTGGGGCCAATCTTGTTCAGGAAAAGATCAGTCGCGGGGAGAAGCAGATGAGTAGGGGAGTAAGGCGGGAAGCTGGAAACGGGGAGGGGGGTGAGGAGAGAATGGGGATAGGGAAAAGGAGCGGGGGGCAAGGGAGGCGGAATATCTGAACGGACAGGAGAGAGAGAAATGTTGGGGAACGGGAGGTGGGCAAGGAACCATAGGACGAGACGTCGCGGAAAAGGCCGAGGAGGGAGAGGAGACACATGATAATGACGAGGACATGGATGGGTAGGGAGTGGAGGTCCTCCTGTTCGTCTTCCTCGCGTTCTCTGTTTCTCGTTCTCGTACGCCTTACCCTGGTGGTCCTCGTCGTCCCTCTCCTCCCTCTCTTCCCCGTGGTCCGCCTCTCGGATTCGTCGTCATCCTCGTGCTCGCCTTCCTGATCCACGTCCTCGTCGTGCTCATCTCAGCTTCGCCCCTCTCCCCTCGCCCTCCTGCTCGACGAGATCCCCGCTTGCCGCCGTCTCCGCGCGGCCTCCCCGTAGGCCGTCGGCTCCGCGCTCGGCGCTGGCGCTGCCAGCGCCTCGCGGGCGGTGGCCGCCAGCGGCATCCAGGATTGGTGGGGGGGGGGGTAGGGGACGAAGGGGGGGGGGGGTACTGCGTCAGGGGCCCCCTTGGGGCAAGTCCGCCCCGCTGCGAGCGCCAACCACCCAGGAGGGCCTCGGGCCGACACAACGACGCGGCGGGTGGCACCCCGAAAGGGGCGCCAAGGAGGACTGCCCCTTCGTGCCCGCCCGATTGGTGCACGCGCGGGGCACGCGCGGGGCACGCGGCAACTCGCTGGCAGTGCATGCCAAACCCGCACACCACATCTAGGCAACATCTTCGATGCTCGCTTCTCTTGCGCTTGCTCGAAATCTTCTCAGGGCCATCCTGGGGCTGACTGTCGGCGATCTGCGCCCTTGGCCCGTCCATAGGGACCCTCGGGGTATTCGGCGCCCTCTTGGGCCGTCTGTGGGCCATGTTGGATCAGTCCCTGGGCGCCCGAGATTTGGCCTCCCGGGTCAGGCCTCGATTCTCTGCGGATCACTTGTCCAGCAAAATGGTAATACATTGTGTTAGTTTTTAGCGCAGTTGCATATTGATCGAATGGCTATCGGCCCATCCCGCAACCGTGCTTGGGTTCTTGGTCTGAGGCCTCTTGGATGCTCGATGGGATCGCGTCGAGGCCTCTCGGGGGCCTGGAGGCCACTGAGGGGCTGTGTCGGGGCCTCTTGGGGGCCTCGTGGGAGCCTCTTTAGGGCCTCTTTGGACCTCTTGAGAGCCTCTTGGGGCCGAGTGCTCGACATGTCCGTTCGGGTCCCCCGTCTGTTGGGCCCCCTCTTGGAGCAGACTTGGGGGTGCTTGGAGACCTCTTGGGCAGTCTCAAAACACTTTTGGGCCGTTTGGGGGTCCTCTGGAAGCCTCTTGGGCTGGTTTTGGGAGGTCTTGATCGTCTCTTGGGCCGTCCTGAAGCGTCAGGAAGCCGAAAGACGAGACCGCCCAAATCGCGCTCCCGTGGCACGTCCATTGGCACGTTCCGTAGCGCGTCCCTTTGGCATGTCCCGCAGTACGTTCCCATGGCACGTCCCCTGGCACGTCGCCTGGCGCGTCCCTTGGGAAGGTCTGCGGCGCGTCCTCCTGGCATGTTCCCCTGTCAGTTAGCCCTGGGGCAGCTACTATGTGCTCAGGCAGCTCGAGCTTAAAATCCAGATCAGTTCGGTCAGGACTCGGACGCAAAGGAGGACTCGATCCACAACGCTACAGAGCACAATCGCGGCATGGCACATCGCAGTTCAGCACGGCGCAGCACAGCACAGCCGTCGGCACGGTCCATCAAGATCGATACACTCAGCATTGCAACTTGTCACGTTCCTTGGCACATTCCGTAGCGCGTCCCGTGGCGAGTCCCCATGGCATGTCGCGCGGCGCGTCCTCTGGTACGTCCCGTGGCACGTCCATAGGCAGGTTCCGTAGCGCGTCCCCTTGGCACGTCCCGCGGTGCGTCCCCATGGCACGTCCCCTGGCACGTCGCCTGGCGCGTCCCTTGGGACGTTCCGCGGCGCGTGCTCCTAGCATGTCTCCTTGCCAATCAGCTGTAGGGCAGCTACTACGTGCTCAGGTAGCTCGAGCTTACGACACAGATCAGTTCGGTCAGGACTCGGATGCAAAGTAGGACCCGATCCTCGATGCTATAAAGCGCAATCGCGGCATGGAACATCGCAATTCAGCACGGTGCTGCACAGCACAGCCCTCGGCAGTGTACATCAAGATCGCCGTGTTCTTGGGTCGATCATGTTTTGCCATTGCGCGAAAACGCAGCGTAATCACATTGAACGTTACCTAACGCACGTTGCGCGATTTTCGTTGCTCCATGGTCGCAGATACGACGCTTGGCACCTCAAAGATGAACAGACCACGCTGTCCGGAAGACATCTCAAACAGCACCCAAGCAGCCCAAAGTGTGTTGGGAGTTGTTTTGCCTTGTCAGGGACTGCTCGAACGCGGCCGTGGAAAGCTAATCATCGGACCTATATGTTGTTCGGGAGGGTGTCAAAGCGCCCCGTAATGGCCCCAGGAGTTGCTGGCACAGTGCTTCGGCAGTGCTGGCGCCAGCGCCGGCGCCTTCGTCGGCGAGCACCCCGTGCTTTCAGCTGCGGCGCTGTGCGGGCTGTGCTCAGTGGGCCTGCTGGCGCTGCTAGCTCCTCGGGGTGAAGGCCGAGGCGTTGGGATCGAGACAGCAGTGGCAATATCAGTTGGGTGTGTTGGAGACAGCAGTGAAGGTAGTGCGGGCACACTGCAACACAGTAGACTGGACTGAGCTCATGCCAGAGAAGCCTGAGTAAGGGCGCTTCCTGGGAAACAAGCACACACGTAGCACAACATTCAGGATACGATGACGGCGCGCAGACATTCAGCATTGTTGGCAAATGTAGTATTTATGATGAAGACCTTACGGCTGGTGCCGCCGACCCTGACGACGACGACGACGTCGACGACCAGGATGCGGAGAAGGAGGAGGAGGAGGAGGAGGAGGAGGAGGAGGAGGAGGAGGGGGGAGAGGAGGGGGGAAAGGGGCAGCAGGAGGAGGTAGGAGGTGGAAGAGGAGGAGCAGGAAGGTGGGGGGCAGGAGGAGCTACATGATGATGAGGAGGAGGGGGGAGGACGCCGAGGAGGGGGAGCATGCGGGAGAATGCGGATGGTTGCCAGTCAGCAGCAAGGCCACAGCTGGACTATTTCACCCCCCCTCGGGGGCCGGCTCTCGATAGCAACCTATATTCGAGTCTTGGGTTTCGAAGAGGACTTACTTTCGCTTGAGCCAGCCTCTGGCTGCAGGCGGGCGATCCCCTTCCCAGTCCCACTACCCACGGGCGGGATGGGCCACTGGTCGCCTCTGGGGGGGAGCCCTTCACGCAAACGATTCAAATAGTGCTGTCCCGAGGGGGTGATTCTATCACGGCACTCTTTGGCAAGCAATCTAATGTGTCCACCCACGTTCGCAACATTACCGAAGCAGGCATTCCATTAGATGACCTTTACACTGTACCCACACATCTGATCACTTCCAACAGTGTGCTGGTCACGGTAGCTGAAGAACAACGGGGGCAATTGCCTGCGTGGGGTCACCCATGCGACTCTGACATCGAGGAGACGTATCATGTCCCACTATGTTCCACGGACGAAGACCATAGCTACGGGTTGGACTCGGACGGAAACGGTCAATATATGAAACTCTGTTTTATTGCAGCAATGTCAAAGGTAGTCCTATCCAAACAACAGCATAGGATATTCGACGTCGACCGCGTGACCACCGTGCGAGTATATATATAACCGCCGCCGCAAAACGAGCTGCGGTCGTCAAGGAGGACGACCTCACCACGAAGGCCGACAGCCAGGCGAACCCATTTAAGGCATCAAAGCAAGACAGGGCGCGACAACAGGTGTTTCAACATACAAGATGTATATATATACATATATATATATATATCCAAAACGCACCCTTCGCCCGAGATCGTTGAGAGGATTGTGCGGGCTTATCACATATTTAATATTGTCCGCACCGCCCCCGCGCTCGGCCCTCTCGACAGTGAAGAGGCTCTAGGGAGGCATCATTACAATATACGGCGTGCTGCCCAGACCCTTGTAGAGCACTCTAGAGCGCCCTTCTAGGTCTGTTCGGCGGGACCCGTCTGGACTCCTCAAGGTACGAGTGATATGTATATATATATATATATCCAAAACGCCAAACAGCATGACTTCGATATGTGGAAGTTCTCAAAGAACGAAAAGGGCGAGATGGGGCGCACCGTCGGACTGCGCCTAGCACTTCGGGGTTTCATGGGCCTCGAGGCTTTCGATGTGGAAACATTCTCAGGAACGGCACGGCGGCCAAACCACATATTCCCCGCAAGCACGGCAGCGTGCAAGAAGCACTGGGTCATTGCTTCCCTTGACATCAACATGGCCCTCCTGAAAGGGTTAACCTACCAGAAACGCATGGTGTGCTTACCATGCCGCCTGGGTCGGCATCGGTGCTTCGATCCCTCCCAGGATTCGAAAATTGCGATGGGCCGAAGCGCTGCTTGCAGTCCCTCAAGCCAAGCGCCCGATGCACCCTGAGCCTCCTCACTAAAGTTCAGAGGGGCCACGAGAGGCTTCGGTTTCAGACCCGCGTCCTACGACGGGGAGTTTGAGACAATCAGTAACCTTCTCACAGTCAAACATGATGATGATATCCGTATGGCCGGCACTGAGGACAACGTCGGCAGGTGCGTCAGGTGCGTCGAGGACATGCTTAGCATGTGTAACCTCAACAAACTCACATATACCAATTGCGCGGTGAGATACACCAAGGACGGGGGCGGCAATGTGACACTGGAACAATATGAATACATTAAACAGCTCCGTCCTATACAACATCCTGAACTCACAGGCGCAGACGCCGACGTCAAAGCATCACGTATGGTTGCTGACGTGTTTGTCGGCCTCAGAGGCGCGATGGCTCACGCATTAATCACACAGGTGTGGTTGATGGTACGCGTGGTCTCTCTGCAACGTGTCCGAGAACCGACCAATATACAGGTGTGACGAGCGAGCGCGATTTCCAGGAAGCTGCAGGCCTGCCCCAGGAAGATTGTCTATCGATCGATGACTCCAACGGGCGAAGTGGATCAGCGCAGTGACTCCGGCTATCGACGCCTGAGTGGAGATGCCGATGACGAGGTCAAAAGCTATGGCATTCGCGGGGCAAGCCTGCTACGGCGTGGACGCGCGCCAACGGGCACGCCAGTCGCCCATTTGTTCGATGCGCACTGCAAGTCCCATCGCTTGCAGGCCCGCTCAAACTACTCAGCATAATCACCAGCAGCAGCCCGTAATTGTGAGGACTGCTATCCCACGATCGTTACTCTGCACGAACTCCACGCAGAGCCACTGACACCCACTAGTTGAATAATGTGCTGGAAATGGGTGGCCTGAGCATTAAGGTCACTTTGACCATAGATGCTGAATTTGTCTTCAAGTCCTTGTCATGCAAAGACCTGAAGAAGCTGACTGACTGTACTCTTTCGGGACACATCAGTTGGATACGACACTTGATGGAACGAGGTATTTTGCACAGTATCCAGTGCTGTGACACTCGTGACATGACCGCGGACGGTCAAACGAAAGGGAGCATCGACAGGGATACGCTCCTACAGGTCATGGGAGGAACGCAATCCTTCAAACATGCCTTAAAATGTCCTGTTCCGTATCGGGCTGGCGAGACAACGCCGTTTGAAACCGCCTGAGCAACGCTCGTTTTTACAGCGATCTGCTCGCAAGGCAACTTGCGTGCAAGGGCATTTGCGTGCGGGTTCACCTTCCTTGCGAACCTGCCCTTCGCTGCCTTCTGTACATATAGTGTTTACTGCATAGTGGCGGCGGGCTCACGCTTCGTCCCTCTCTCCCCCCCCGACTCTAATGTGAGCTGGGACAAGGGCGGGAGATAACGAGCGTTTGTCCGTGGCCGCTTGGGCTCAAGCGGCCGGCCGCCAACATATATTTGCGTTTCATCGCGAGGCACACTACTTGCCATCGAGACCGGAAACACTTTCGTTTGAGTTGGCCCGTCGCTCCCGCGACGGCTTCCTCCGACTTAGACTATCGTTACTACGGTACATCAAAGCTGGAGCTGGGCGTCGCCTAGGGCGAAGCTGCTGGTTGGGCCTCCCGGCCCCCGTCAAACTCTCTACGGGGCGTTCCTGGATAAACTTCGTGGACGAAGCGGCGCCTCCCGTTCTTGTCCGATCAGGTGTTCCCTCTATTGTTGGGGCGGGCTGGGTAAAGTTGGGGGCTCCCCTTCAACAGGGAATAATCCGTTGTGGGCGACCCTACACGCGACAGGATTTGCGAGCGTCTTCTCAGAAGGGTTGCCATGGGAAACAGTGGTTGCGATTGGAACCAATACTGCGGTCGTAATCGTAGTCGTTGTTGTAGTCATAGTCGTAATCGTGGTTGTAGTCGTAGTCGTCGTAGTCGTCGTCGTCGTTTTTGTGTGGTGGGTGCCGCAGATAACTAGGGGCCCGGATCCGTCAATAAGGTCGCCGAACAGATATTGAGTTTTCGCCACCTCGGGGGGGGCTCCGAAGACCCATCGCACGTAGTTTGGAACCGAAGCGCACCCCCATCAGTTTGAGCATCTGTCTGATCAGTTGTGTGATGTGCATATACATATAGATAGGTAACACAAGTATGAAAGAGAGAACGAGAGAGAGAGGGAAACACACAAAAAAAGAGCAGGGGCAGCACACAACGGGTGTCGTGACACACGCCAGGCTCTGCAAGCGCAGTGGCGGATCGCAGCCTTCTTGATCGTAAAAACGAGCACCATGCAGTCCGCACATGTTTTGTCGTAGGAACCGCTGGTCGTGGGCGCGTGTCCAGTGCAACGTCTGGCACCAGTTGTGTTTTTTTTGTTTTCTGACATTTGTTAGGCATCTTGACGTATCCTCTTGCTCGTGTTCTTTGTCGTCGTCAGTCAGTGCATTTGCCATCATATTCGTCGTTTGTCTTGCTCCGTCCGGTGGCCCTCTGTAGGCCGCAGAAGCACCAGGTCCGCAAAGGTGGCTTCCGACGAGTGCGCCTGGGGCCCCAATTCGGAGTAGGACGTGAATGGTAATGTCTGTGGTGGGGAAGAACGGGAGGAATAGGAGGAAGATAGAGAGGAACGTGGAGACCAGCCAGAGCCGAGGCGGATATGGATCGCAGTAGTTATCGGGGAACAGCCACAGGAGAGAGGTGAATAGATACAGAGAAACGTCATTAACAGCCCGACTCGAGGCAGATACTGACCGCAGCAGCCCACGGGGAACAGCCACAGGGAATGGGCGAATAGCGTTGGCCTACTGGAGCGATAGAGTGGGTCGCAGGTGGGGTCAAAACGACGGGTCCCCGAAAAAAGCTATATTATCTTTTCGATTTTCATCATATATAGAAAACGAGTGTACATTTGTGTAATGCGTGTATACACACATATACACAGACCTACATATACACCTGTATATATATGACTATATATGACCTATACACACAGTTGCGAGTGGCGAGCCCCTGCAGCGAGCTGGCGCAGCAACGGAACAGAAGGGGTGTTGGTTTTAGAGCACGCTCTCTTTGTCATCAGCTTTGTTCCCGCCTCTGCTTCCCCCTTTTAAATGCATATTGGAAGTGTTTCGGGGGTTTCTTCGGGCCAGGGACGCCGCTGAGGACCCGTCGGCAATATGGGGTCATTGTTGGGCGCGATGTTTCTACCGATCTCTCTCGATGAGATGCTCGTTAGATCTTGGGCGAGTCTGGGTGGGTCATGCAGTCGCTTTGAACCATCCTGGGGCTCTTGGGATGGTCTTGGGGTTTCCTCAGGCAGTCCTGGGGTTCTTTTGGGCTCATCTTGCGCCGTTTTGGGGGGTTGTTGGGGCTCCCTGAAGGTTACCCGGGGCGGTCTTACGTCGAATTGCATCCGACGCAACCGCCGACAAGCTTTTCCCCTCTCCCAGGGCCGCTGAATGCATACTTGGGTGTCCCTTGTGCGTTTCTTCGTATCCTGTTGAGGTCAGTTGGTGCCTTGTTCGGCTGGTGTTCGGTCATCTTGCAGGTGCATCGGGGCGTATTGGACCCTTAGGGGGGCGCCTGGAGCCTGCAGCCCGAAGAATGCGCCACGGAGCAATCTTGTGGGCGAAGCGCGCAAATCTGGCAAGCGTTGTGGAGGATTCGCGCGTCGACCCATTCAGCAGGAGGGTTGATCGTTCTTCCCCTCCGCCTGCTGGCGGCGTTCCGCCCCTGCGTGTTTGATCCCATAGAGGCCGCTAGCACGGCTGAGTGTTTTCAGGATGCGTAGTTCTGGTACCGTAGAGTTGCGCAGCGCGGTGGTGTAGGGTGATGTTGGATATATGGTGCGATTGGGCTAGTAGTAGTAGTCGTTGTAGTAGCTGTAACAGTAGTAGTAGTAGTAGTAGTAGTAGTAGTAGTAGTAGTAGTAGATGTTGTAGTAGTAGTAGCAGTAGTAGTAGTAGTAGTAGTAGTAGTAGTAGTCGAAGTAGAAGTAGAAGTAGAAGTAGTAGTACTAGCAGTAGTAGTCGTATAAGTAGTAGTAGCAGTAGTAGTAGTAGTAGTAGTAGTAGTGGTCGTAGTAGTAGTCGCAGTAGTGGTAGTAGTAGTAGCAGTAGTAGTAGTAGTAGTAGTGGTAGTAGTAGTCGTAGTAGTAGTAGTAGTGGTAGTAGTAGAAGTAGTAGTAGTAGTAGTAGTAGTAGTCGTAGTGTCAGCGGTGGTAGTAGTATGAGTAACAGTAGTAGCAGTAGTAGTGGTAGTAGCTGCTGTAGAAGTAGTTGGAGTTGGAGTAGTAGTAGTAGTAGTAGTAGTAGTAGTAATGGTAGTTGTAGTTATGTTAGTACTAGTGGTAGTAGTAGTAGCAGTAGTAGTAGTAGTCGTAGTAGCGGTAGAAGTAGCAGAAGCATCAGTCATAGTAGTCGTAGTAGTAGTAGTAGTAGTAGTAGTAGTAGTAGTAGTAGTAGATGTTGTAGTCGCGGTAGCAATCGTACTAGTAGTCGTAGTAATAGTAGTAGTAGTAGTAGTAGTAGTAGTAGTAGCAGGAGTCGTAGCAGTAGAAGTTGTAGTTGTAGTAGCAGTGCGAGAAACAGTCGTAGCGATAGTAACGTTAGTAGCAGCAGTAGTCGCCGCTGTAGTAGCAGCAGTAGTAGCAGTAGTAGTAACAGTGGGCGTAGCCGTAGTGGTAGCAGGGATGGATTGATAAAAGGTAGTAGTGGTCGTACCAGTAGTAGGAGTAGTACTCGTGGTGAGTTCGGGTTTATGGTGCGATTGGGATGCTGGTAGTAGTAGTCGTAGTAATAGTAGTAGTAGTAATAGCAGCAGAAGCGGTAGGAATAGCAGTCGTAGTAGTAGTAGTAGTAGTAGTAGTAGTAGTTGTGGTTGTTCGAGTAGTAGTAGTAGTAGCAGTAGTAGCAGTAGTAGTGGACGTATCAGTAGTAGTAGCAGTTGCAGTAGCATTAGGAGTTGTAGTTGCAGCCGTAGTATGTACAATCGTAGTAGTAGGTTGAGTAGCAGTCGTAAGGGCCGTACTAGTAGTAGCAACAGTACCAGTAGTAGTAATAGTAGTAGTAGCAGTAGTAGTAGTAGTAGTAGTAGTAGTAGTAGTAATAGTAGTACTAGTAGCTGTTGCCGTAGTAGTAGTTTTAGTAGTTTTAGTATTCGTAGTAGTAGTAGTAGTAGTAGTAGTAGTAGTAGTAGTAGTAGTAGTAGTAGTAGCATTCGTAATAGGATGAGTAGTCGTAGTAGTAGTAGTAGTAGTAGTAGTAGTAGTAGTAGTAGTAGAGGTAGCAGAGAGAGTGGTAGTAGTGGTAGTAGCCGCGGACGTGGTCGTACTAGCCGTAGTGTTCGTAATATCCGCATGGTGTTAGCAGTATGGTTAGCAGTTGCAGTAGTGGCAGTCGTATCACTAGCCGTCGGAGTCGCATTTGTAATCAAAATTGTTTCCGTGGGCGTAGCCGTAGGCGTACAAGTAGTCGTAGTACAAGTAGTAGTAGTAGTAGTAGTAGTAGTAGTAGTAGTAGTAGTAGTCGCAGTCGTAGTCGTAGTCGTAGTCGTAGTAGTAGTAGTAGCAGTAGTAGTAGTAGCAGTAGTAGTGGTAGTAGTAGTAGTAGTAGTAGTCGCAGTCGTAGTCGTAGTCGTAGTAGTAGTAGTAGCAGGAGGAGTGGGAACAGTAGTAGCAGTAGTAGTACTAGTAGTAGTAGTAGTAGTAGTAGTAGTAGTAGTAGTAGTAGTAGTAGTAGTAGTAGTAGTAGTAGTGGTAGTAGTGGTAGCATAAATGTCAGTAGTAGTAGTATTAGTAGCAGTCGCAGTAGTAAATCTTATTGGTTCGAGTCGCCGTAGAATGTGGAGTTCGTAGTTGTAGTAGCATTACTTGTAGCGGCAGAAGCTGTAGGACAAGTAACAGTAGTAACAGTAGTAGTAGTAGTAGTAGTAGTAGTAGCTGTACCCGCTGATGTATTCGTTGTAGTAGCTTCCGTAGCCGTCGTAGTAGCAGTCGCCGTCGTAGTCGTAGCTGTACTAGTAGTAGTAGTAGTAGTAGTAGTACTAGTAGTAGTAGTAGTAGTAGTAGTAGCCGTAGTAGTAGTAGTCGTAGTAGTAGTAGTAGTATTGTCGTAGTAGTAGTAGTAGTAGTAGTAGTAGTCGTAGTCGTAGTCGTAGTCGTAGTCGTAGTCGTAGTCGTAGTAGTGGCATCCGTCGTTGCAGTAGATGCCGTCGTAGCAGCTACAATAGGGAACGCAGTCGTAGTAGCTGAAGCAGTAGTACAGAGTATCGCTATTATGAGTAGAAGTAGCCGTCGTAGTCTGCGGAGTTCTACTTGCAGTAGTATTACTACTACTAGTACTAGTAGCACTCGTCGTTGTAGCAATAGTATTGGTAGTTGTGGTAGTAAGAGTGGTACTAGTAAGATTGGTAGTGGTTATTGCATTTGTAGTATTAGTAGTGGTGGTAGTAGTAGTAGTAGTAGTTCTAGTAGAAGTAGTAGTAGTAGTAGTAGTCGCAGTAGTAGTAGTAGTAGTAGTAGTAGTAGTAGTAGTAGTAGTAGTAGTATCGGTAGTAGTAGTGGTGGTGGTGGTGGTGGAAGTCGTAGTTCCCTATCAGCAGTAGTGGTCGTAGTAGTCGTAGTAGTAATAGTAGTCGTAGTAGTAGTCATGATAGCCGTTTTTTGTGCTAGCTGTAGTAGTAGTGGTAGCAGCAGCAGTACTGGTTGTAGTAGCCACTATCAAAGTAGTAGTAGTAGTAGTAGTAGTAGTAGTAGTAGTAGCACGAGTGATTCGTGTTGAGGTACCAGTAGCAGTAGTGGCCGTAGTCGTAGTAGTCGTAGTAGTAGTAGTAGCAGCAGAAGTAGTAGTAGTAGTAGTAGTAGTAGGTATATTAGTAGAAGTCGTAGTAGTAGGAGTAGAAGTCGTAAGAGCAGTAGTAGCAGTAGTAGTAGTAGGAGTTGTAGTAGTAGTGACTAGTAAGTAGTAAGTATTCAGTAGTAGTAGTAGTAGTACTAGTAGTAGTGGTAGTAGTAGTAGTAGTAGTAGTCGTAGTCGTAGCAGTAGTAGTAGCAGTAGTAGTAGTAGTGGTAGTGGCAGTGGTAGTGATAGTGGTAGTGGTAGTAGTAAGTAGTAGTGAGTAGTAGTAACTAGTAGTAAGTAGTACTAAGGAGTAGTAATCAGTAGTAACGGTAGTAGTAGTAGTAGTACGTAAGTAAGTAAGTAAGTAGCAAGAGGTAGCAGGAGTAAGTGGTAGTAGTAGTAGTAACAGTAGTAGCAGTAGTAGTAGTAGTAGTAGTAGTAGTAGTAGTAGTAGTTAGTAGTTAGTAGTAGTAAGTAGTAGTAGGTAGTAGTAAGGAGTAGTAGTATTAGTAGTAGTAGCAGTAGTCGTAGTAATAGTAGTAGTAGTAGTAGTAGTAATACGAGTCGTAGTAGTAGTAGTAGTAGTAGTAGTCGTCGTAGTAGTCGTAGTAGTAGTAGTAGTAGTAGTAATGGTAGTAGTATTAGTTGTGGTAGTAGTAACTTGTCGTAGTATTCGTAGTATTGGTAGTATACTAGT